ACTGCTATATCCATGGCATACAATGCTCTCGTGAGTCGGGGTGCTTTGTATGCTCCTCTGTACTAGTAGGTACTTCTCGTTCTCGGTGATTTGTGTCTCACACTTCCCCTTCTCACTGGATCACTGCATGGTTGTATTTGCACATGTCAGCGTACATGCCAGTGTAAATATCCCACTCTTGTCTCCAGCCCAGTGCCAATAGCCCACGATGATTATGTCCACGACTCGTACATGTAACTCAGAAGTAGCGACAAACTCGGCCATTTGAAAATAAGAGAGGCGGACGGAGGTTATGTACGTGTACGTTGTAGATGTGCGAAAACTTTGGAAGGAACACTATCGTGGAGTGCCAAGTGCACCCTCGCTCCATACACACTACAAATTCTCTCCCCCGCACATCCTTGCCAGGGCCAGGGAGTGGTAGAACAAACTGTATTCGACGCCTGATAAAGAAGACATCTGTAGTCCCCCTCTCACTGGTGTGCGCGGTAGCGGTTGCAAACAGCAAGTGTCCACACACGGGCTGGCAAGGTGTGATGTTGCGCCACTTCGCGGTCTCGTCTACAACCAGTCTGCGAGGTCTTATCTTCTCGGATACTTCCCAGTTCGCGCACTCTGCGCGCTTTTCAGCTAGAAAATGACACCCCGAACTACACTTACTTTGAATGCACTCATTGCTCACACAGTTTGCGGCGTTTAGTTATACTTTTCCGGTCACGGTTGCTGTTCAGTCACGAAGGGGCTTCCTTGCTTTCGTTCTGAGCTTTAAAAAAAGACTTTGTTTGTGGAAAGTGGTTCTAAGGAGTAAACTGTTGAGTCGGTAATTCACCGAACTAAGTTACTTCAACAACGCGAAGCCAAGCTATTGCACGTGCAGGCGAATGCCTTCCCTTGGACGCTTAGGTGCCTGTTATATTATAATTAATTTTCAAGTATCGACGGTACGGCAAGCGACTTTGCCCCCCCCCCCCTCACGCTGGCACAGTTCGCCCAACTTATGGCCGGCTCAGTGCGGTGCAGGAACAGTTTCGCGTCCGAGCTGCGGGCGTGTACGTGTCATTCGTGCAGCCTATTATCAACCCACATGTGCATACGGCCGGCCCCGGTGCCTATGCCGCGGTACCAGAGCACCGCCACCCTGCCGGAGCAAGCACAGCCTGCCTGCTATGCCTGCAGAAGGCTAAGGTTAGGAGGCACGAGTCAATGCACTTGTATTATTTTCATTGTGTGTACAATAGGGGGGACTACCATTACCGGTAGTGTCAAAACCCTAGCTGGATGAATACAGGTGGATCTACAGCTACACCACTAGCAGACTACAGTGACTATGTAGGGTGAATTCATGTCTGCCATTAATTGTAGGACATGATTGTGCGTGTCCGCTTATGACCAGGCAAAGGGCAGATCTGTGTTGAAATGTAAGTCTACTAATACCCTACACTGCTAGCTGCAGCCAAGTCCTAGATCTGTAGATACACACCCGCTGGGAGGCGCACCGACGACCTGCGGAGGACAACTTTCGGAGGAAATTCTATTTACGCTCACTCTTCCGACTCTGACATAGTGATGGCGACGTATTACTAGTCGTTCTAGATCATGTAGTTCTATCCACATTCAACGTTAGACTGCGACAGTGAGTTTCCTCCGTTCGGAGGATGGGGCTTATGCGAAGCGTTTTACTCAAGCTGCCACAAAACGAAAACTAGCAGTGAAAGTATCAGTCAATCCTCGGTAGTATAGTGGTAAGTATCTCCGCCTGTCACGCGGAAGACCCGGGTTCGATTCCCGGCCGGGGAGGACATTTCTTTTTTTCTTTTTTTTGCAGATTTTGTTAGGGTCTTTTTTTCTTTTTTTCTACAAAATCCACATAATTAGCTCCATGGACGCACCAAAGGGAGATTGGGTAGGGATTAAATAATAATTGAAAAAGAAAACAGAAGAAAGAAAATGGAAAGATTGTATTGCTCAGTGAGCAAAAGAATAAGTTGAGTATTGATGTGAACGCTGTTATAGACTTTTATAAGGCAAAAATTAAAATTTCACCAGTTGTAGTCTTCGGGGTGCTGAGTCGAATGGTCGTGGTCCGAGGAAGCTGAGACGCTCCCTTCCTACTTTAATCCCAATCGAACTCGCGCACTTCCACCGAAACTGGGTGACTGCGCCCTACGAGATGGGGATTTGTATGCAAAATGTGACTAAAAGCGCCATTTCGTTCCTACAAAAGCACGGATGACCGCGATTGGCCCATATGTTGTAGTCTTTTGGACGCTGAATCGACTGGTTTTGGTCCGAAAAGGCTGCGATGCAGCGTTCCTCCTTTATTCCCAATCGAACATGGTTGAACAAGCGGTCCGAGACGTGCTCCTGCGTACACCAGTCACCTGGTCACCGTGCCTGCAGGGTACAACTTACTAGCCTGTTTGACCTTTTTTGGGTGCAGTCCTGTCACTCGAGTTGAACCTTGGTGTGAAAGTTGTCGCCTGCTGGCGTGGTGACCAGGTGATTTGGGCACCAAGGAGCACGTGACCACTTGTTCAACCATGTTCGATTGGGAATAAAGGAGGAACGCTGCATCGCAGCCTTTTCGGACCAAAACCAGTCGACCCAGCGTCCAAAAGACTACAACATATGGGCCAATCGCGGTCATCCGTGCTTTTATAAGAACGAAATGGCGCTTTTAGTAACATTTTGCATACAAATCCCCATCTAGTAGGGCGCAGTCACCCAGTTTCGGTGGAAGTGCACGAGTTCGATTGGGATTCAAGTAGGAAGGGAGCGTCTCAGCTTTCTCGGACCAAGACCATTCGACTCAGTACCCCGAAGACTACAACTGGTGAAATTTTAATTTTTGCCTTAACTTCCCCTTTAAGGCAAAAATCAAAATTTCACCAGTTCTTCGGGGTGCTGAGTCGAATGGTCTTGGTCCGAGAAAGCTGAGACGCTCCCTTCCTACTTGAATCCCAATCGAACTCTCGCACTTTCACCGAAACTGGGTGACTGCGCCCTACGAGATGGGGATTTGTATGCAAAATGTCACTAAAAGCGCCATTTCGTTCTTATAAAAGCACGGATGACCGCGATTGGCCCATATGTTGTAGTCTTTTGGACGCTGGGTCGACTGGTTTTGGTCCGAAAAGGCTGCGATGCAGCGTTCCTCCTTTATTCCCAATCGAACATGGTTGAACAAGCGGTCACGTGCTCCTGGGTGCCCAAATCACCTGGTCACCACGCCAGCAGGCGACAAATTTCACACCAAGGTTCAACTCGAGTTCAACTCGAGTGATAGGAGTGCACCCAAAAAAGGTCAAACAGGCTAGTAAGTTGTACCCTGCAGGCACGGTGACCAGGTGACTGGTGTATGCAGGAGCACGTGACCACTTGTTCAACAATGTTCGATTGGGAATAAAGGAGGAACGCTACATCGCAGCTTTTTCGGACCAAAACCAGTCGACTCAGCGTCCAAAAGACTACAACATATGGGCCAATCGCGGTCATCCGTGCTTTTATAAGAACGAAATGGCGCTTTTAGTGACATTTTGCATACAAATCCCCATCTCGTAGGGCGCAGTCACCCAGTTTCGGTGGAAGTGCGCGAGTTCGATTGGGATTCAAGTAGGAAGGGAGCGTCTCAGCTTCCTCGGACCAAGACCATTCGACTCAGTACCCCGAAGACTACAACTGGTAAAATTTTGATTTTTGCCTTAACTTCCCCTTTAAGAATAGACTGTCTGTGAGGAGAGATTACATGTATGTCCAAGCAGGGTAGGACACTGTACCCTCTTACTCGCATCTATCAGAAGAAAATGAAAAAAATTCGGGGCTTTTGAATATACCAGATGATGCTGGCAAATCAAGTTGTCCAGCGTGTGTGCGTGCATGACTGTATGTGTGTGTGTGTGTGTGTGTGTGTGTGTGTGTGTGTGTGTGTGTGTGTGTGTGTGTGTGTGTGTGTGTGTTCGTTAGGGTCTAGCAGAAGAAAATGAAAAAATCCGGGGCTTTTGAATATACCAGATGATGATGGCAAAATTGTCCAAGGGGAAACAAACTTAACGAAGGCAATTAGGTATGTCAAGAGAACATCCCCCAGGGTTATGTTCTCTTCGTTGCGTCCAATTCAAGGTAAATTGTGAGAGGTTGGAATTCTCTGGGTACGTTGAGTTCCGACTCAGTACAGGAATAACGGCCTGGGTCCCTTAGCGCCTGGACAAGTTTTTTTTCTCTTATTTTCCGAATCACAAAATTTCACAAAATTTCACAAAATTTGCAAAGTGCGTCCTGACTCTTCACGATTATAAAATTATTGGTCACCATTGCATCATTAGTTCCTACGTATATCATAAATGTAGAGCCAAAGGATTTATTGCAATTACATACCGGTATAAACACCGAGGTCCCCCGAGGTTTTTATAACTGGTATGCAATTGCAATACTCCTGAGGCTACTACATTATTTTGTTATACATTATGTTGATAGTGTTATTTAAAAACAGAAGGCCAATAAATACTGTTTATAAAATACTCCTTTTAGGGAAAAGTGAAGTGCTACATGGAAAAGTGCAGAGGTATGTATTGAGTCGAAGCAAATTTATATGAATTTGATACTGTTGATGGTGTAGTCACTAATGAGTGTGGTATCAAAGGTCAATATATTCTCTGACAAAAGTGTGTATAATGTGTGCATGACCAGCACCAGCACCAGCACCATCTCGCCTCATGCTAGCCCCATGTGCCTGCCGGTGCGTTGTGTATTTTGTAAAAAATGACACAATGACCGGTGGTGACTGCGGAATGCTGCTGTCTTTATCCAACTGTGATATGCTAACGCACAGCATTCCAGCAAAAATTTGCTATTATCCCTCTGGACTTTCGCCAGAGTCTCCAGAAAGTTTCCTGAATGCATCAAGTGCACTGTGTAGTGTGTACTCTGCAGTCATCAACATTCGGTCGGGCATGGTATGTTCACCTCGCTCCCAAAGAAAAGAAAAATGATCGCAGTTACGACGCGCCAGTGATTGTGTGGATTTGTAACCAAAACACTGCGAAACCACACAAGGTTGAAACAAGCATTTCATGAGAGTTATGGGTAGCTATGGCAGCATCGGAATTGTTGTTGAAATTTTGTCTTGATATACTGTGGGAGCCTATCTGTGTACAACGGGTTTGTTTTAGTACTACAGCAAAAGCGTGGCAAAATCAGCGATGAAGCATGGTTCAATGAAGCTCGACTATTCTTTTTAAATTAAAAAAATGCAGAGGATCCTTCTGTCTCCTGCTGCGTCCCTCATCATTTGTAAAGGATACTGAAAAAGAATTGCATGACTACCATTATGTATTTCAATTTTAAAACTGGTAGAAAATAGATCAAGGATATCTAGCCTACACAAATCAATCTAACATCCTAAGCCCTACTTGTGGTTGTGGGTTAAGATTTCGTTGCTGAGGCAATGGCTGCAGCAGCTGCTGCTGGTGGATTGTGCAGAAAGTCGTACAGCAGTTGAGCATTGGATGGGTGATGGAGCACGCTGGACAAGTCTTCTTTGGACATGGAGGATAGCTCGAAGAGATTGGACACATTCCGCAGAATATAGCTACAGAAAACAATACGTGAAAGACAAGAACACGCCCAGTCAGGCAATGCCATTTCAATTTGCTCAGTACTCTTCTGGCTAGAGTAGATTGGCCCAGAGAGGATTTACAAGAGACTGCACGATGGTGATCACTCTCGTCACTGGATTGATTGCAAGTCACAGTGTCACCGTGCATGGCTACATGGCCGTTCTTTGACAGGAAGCCCGCTTCATGGCTGTTCTTTGACAGGAAACCCGCTTCACATACTGCATTGTACAGTGTGAACTTATTGGTATTGGGGAAACCCTTATCAGCACGAAAAGTCAAACTGCTCTCTCGCTCTCGCTCGCTGCTCCAGGGGTCAGGCCGGAGCACCCCAAAAAGGGTTCCGGTTGCACCAGTATGAGAGCAGGGCATAGATTAACGGCCGGACATCGGACATTTTCCGGCCATTTTCGGCCACTGACCGGACGTTTTCAATTTCACCGGACATAGTGTCCGGTCAAAAAAGGAAAAAAAGAGCAGCGACCTTTCGACCTTTTTATGCAGAGTTGGGCTTTCTTCGGAGCTTCGTGCCAAATGCGACTTGCATATCGTACAACTAACACGTCTACACCGTAGCCTCGATCCCTCAGGCGTAGACTTCACCATAATCCGCCTGTAGAAACGCGGTTGCTACAGTCAATTCACACGTTCGACCTTCGTTCGACCTTTGCCAGGCTTTGATACATGGTGTCGACTTCGCACCTGAATCGATGGGTTGAACTGCACTGAAGTGCAGTTGTTCGCTCGTGGGAGGAAGATGTCATCTTTTATTTTTCACTATTTCACTGACCAGGAATGCAGATAGTCTTTTAGAATGTCTTCTGGAAAGCGAAAGGGAGATTCAGAGGACTTGCCGCCGGGCAAAAAAGTCCGTGGTGTGAAGGCCGCTACTTGCGATAAGTGGATCTCGGACAATGATGCAGAGCTGACTACTTCCGCCTGGCTGATTTATGACAGGCAGAAGAACGATCGGCTGTTAGCAGAATGTTTGAAGTGTTCCGTGTGCATCAAGTTTGTAGACAGAGTCCGCAGTTGTAAAAACTTCAGCGAGGCTTTCATAACCGGATTCAAGAACCTGAGAACATCAGCGTTCAAGGATCATGCTGGAACGGAGATGCATAAACGAGGAATGAATCTTTTCCGCAGGCAAGAGTGTCCCGCTCGAAATGCCCTCGAATTCGCTCCAATTGCGAAGGCACTGTGCGAGATGGACGATGGTGCTGCCGCTATTGCACGACGCAAATTCGAACTGACCTACCTTCTCTGCAAGGAGCATATCGCGTTCGCAAAATTCTTGACTGCAACGCTTTTTTGTACATACATTTGTCGTCAGTAAATAGTACAGTTTCTAATACAAATAAATTGGCGAATTGTACATAGTAATGTGTGAGATACGTCCACATAATGAGTCATTGTGAATATACTCCAGTACTACTAAAAAAAAAAGAAGAAACACCCTGAAAATGTGTTGTGGAAAATGTCCGGGCATGTCCGGACAGATTTCAAAACGGAAGGACATTTGTCCGAGCTAAATGAAATCCTTAAGCTATGCCCTGTGAGAGCAGTAGAAATTTAACAGTGGTGTTACAGGCATCACTGTTCCGGGCCTTACGATCCACTGGTAATTTTGGTAAACATCGGGAGCTAGCAGTGGATCGTAAGGCCCGGAATTACCAAAATTACCAAAGGGTGAAAATGCACTTTCAACAAAAATAGAAAAAAGAAAGTGCCCCCTGTGAGGATCGAACTCACGACCTTCAGATTATGAGACTGAAGCGCTGCCTACTGCGCTAAGGAGGCACACAATATTCTGATACCCTGGTAGAGGTTCTAGTCATGCCGGAAGGTATACTACATATTAGACACCTGAACCTGGATGAAAAGTTCCCCATTTTAATAGGGTGCAAACTCTACTTAATCCACTGCACAAGTGTGCACAATAAAATTTACCAATTCACCAGGCGCTGCACACAAGAATCTGAAACTACACGGGGCTGGGCACTAAACTGGAGCGTGTACGTGTGCGGTTCAAGCGCGTTCAGGCTTTCACAGAAAGCAGCAATTCGAGTTTCTTTGGCTGTGCTACGTTTTTGAGTACTATCTTTTAAACCCAGCCAGTCAAAGTGACTGGCATGTATGCCAGTACGCGTTGAGGAGTTGAAAAATACATGCTGGATTTCCATTTCGGCGCGTTACCAACTCTCCATATATGCATGACGCCCCAAAAGTCCACGCACGTATGCCAGTATGGGTTGAAAATAAAATATTAAAAAGATTGAGGGAGTTGAAAAATACATGCTGGAATTTCCATTTCGGCGAATGACGCCCCAAAAGCCAGTGAAAATACGCACAAATGCGCGATTTCACACGCACACACCCGCCAGCTGTGAACACGGCCTAAGAACAGGGTAGGGCAGCCACCATCAATGCATTTGTAATAGATCATCACTTACTGCACATTGGTGACATTGATGCCTGGTAGCTTCAACACAAAGTCCTATACAAATTACACAATGACAAAAATACAGGAAAAAAGGATCATGTACCGAAAATGAATGTACATGAAGTGACAGTCAGCCATACAGAGCTCAGTCATGGAAAAAGAAAGCCACCACCCGGATTCGAACAGGGGATCTCCTGTTTACTAGACAGGCGCTTTAACCCCTAAGCCATGGCGGCACAGACAGCTGAGCAAAGCACAACACATGTCAAGAGCCATTCATCAATTGGCAGCAACACGACAAGAGCATGCATGCACGCACGCAGGGGCACACTATACCTGTGTCAAGGGGAAGTAATGTGAGCCATCCGGCGCCTCCGCTCCTTTCTCACTTGCCACGGTGGCAGCTACCTCGGCATCAGGCTCGGCCTGGTTTCTCTGCAAGGATAGTCGTCAGTGTATGATGGCACACAGTGGAATACACCTGGATCACAAACACTACACTACACTACACTACACTACACTACAGTACAGTACAGTACACTACAGACTAAGTACAGTACAGTACACTACAGTACAGTACACTACAGTACAGTACACTACACTACACTACACTACACTACACTACAGTACAGTACAGTACAGTACAGTACAGTACAGTACAGTACAGTACAGTACAGTACACTACAGTACAGTACACTACACTACAGACTACAGTACAGTACAGTGCTCTGAAGCATCTTGTGCGGGAAAAATAACAAAATGGAGCCAGTACAGTACAGTGAATGTACTATTATTGAGTAGGAACAAACATACGACAGTCGCATGATGCCAAGTGCGTGTCCACCGGATCAAGACTAGCTAAATATAGTGCATAGAAGTCACAATGCTGTTGAAGGTGTTCAATGAAGTCGAAACTGGGACTGGCAATCCTACTCCGAAGTTTACAACTACCAGCAAGTACACAAATAGTACTACTTCCAAGTATGATGAAACACCCATCCCTACAACTCAGAGATCTAGCTGTGTTGCCGCTGTACTCTGATTTACAACTTGTAGGAATGCAGCCAATAACAAGCACTGTACTGAAATATGTCGAAGAAGTACCGTCTCGCACTGCCTCGGGAGCACTGTACTACTGTTAGCAGCAGCAGCAGCAGCAGCAGCAGGAGAGGAATCCACAATCATAACAATGACTAGTCTTCAATGATTAGTCTTACCTTGAGTTCATCAAACAGTTCTGCTGATGCATGCGGACTCTGGCACCACAGGACACGCAGCTACCAAGCACATCGCAAGAAAACACAGCACAACACATGCGGGAATAGGACCCGTCATCAAAAGAAACTGAGGTACAGAGGGCTCAGTCTAAGTGGCAAAATGCAGAACATGTTACAACACAGCAGACAGAGAGTGGAATACTGAAGAGTTGGAGTGCAAGTGTCACAGAGTCAGCTGCACGGTGCAGCATAATGTACAGCAATGCTGAATAAAAGTCCAGACTTGTCAGTGACAGTGAGTTAGTGTGTTTCGCATTCTACTCCATATGGACGTACGGGCATATCAATATCTAACGTTAGAAATGTAAGAGTCATTACCACTAGTGATCTAGCATGTAGTTGTCCACGATCAGAGGACAGGATCAGAGCGGTGCATAAACATGTCAGGAAAGGTCCGAGGAGCTCCTGCCGCCATCAGGAAGACCTACTCAAAGAAGGCCGATCACGTCCACTCCAGTGCAGTTTGTGCTTACTAGTACTTCGGAAGTACAATGTCTCACACATAGCACCAAGAGTACATAAAGTAGGGGTTATGTACTCTTGACAGCACATATGCGGGCAGTTTACGAAAAATATTTTACTTCGCCAACAGCCCAAACACTCCCATCGCTTGCAGAACACGAGGAGCTCACAAAGCAACTCTATTGTACATATACACTGCTTTGCTCACACTGGTGACACTTACCTTGGGAAAGTGCAGTGTCAGTAAGGCTAGCTTGGACGTCAGGTCTTGATACGAGATCTCGCCTTGCAGTGTTCCTTTGGCCTGCCATGCAACACAGGACAAGCAATGGCTGCTGGCTCAACTAATCATTTCAACTTTGCTGTTTTCCAGAATCACACAACAGCACATGCTGAAATGCTGCCATGAAACTCTACCAAGTAGAAACCTAGATCACCACCTCACTCAACCTTGATACGTTGACTTGAATTTAAGCTACAGTTCTGGCCAGAAAAATCCGAGCTCATGGGTAATAAGTAGTGCCACGTTCAAGTGCGCAGTGTTGTATGTGCTGCTAGGACCACACAGCCCCCGGCACTATTATGTTCATCAGGTCGGATTTCTGTGGCCAGGACTGTACTAGTACCCTATCAGAATTGGATGCAGCAGATACACACCTACCGTCGCTGCACAGGCCCTGAGAAATAGACAAAATGTGGGGCAAAGGAAGTACGAAAACTGAGTTCTCTGGCCACGTTTCAGCTGGTCGTACAGGTCAGACCTCGCTATAACGTAGTCTCTGGGGGATGGGAGAAATTCTGTTATACACTGTAGCGAGGTTTATGTTATAGTGAGTTGGGCACACCAATATGCAATATGTATGTCAAAATGACGCTCTTCACTTACTGATTACAGCTGTACTGTTTTACATACAGGTATGATGAGAACTAGCAAAGATGTGTACAGTCTTGTCAGGAAAGGGGTGACAAGAGTCATGCAGTGTGTGCACGTGAACATGTGACATGATTAGAGCCTATAAAAAGTAATCCCAAGCAGGGAGTAGTATAATACCGGTATTTTACTACTCCCTGCTTCCGAGGTGGACGGCTCAGTCTCGAATGCTGTCTCGAATTCGTCGCGAGAAAGCATGCATGCCGTGTATATAGTCATTTTTATACGACTTTTTTACGTTATGCTGAGGTCTCCGTGCGCCCGGGACCCAGCAAACAGTGCGTTATAGCGAAAATTACGCTATAGCGGATAATGTTATAGCGAGGAAATTTTGTACAGAAGTGATGCGGTTTCGGCAGGGACATTCACATTTCGTACGTTTTAGTGAGGTTTATGTTATAGCGGGGGTCGTTATAGCGAGGTCTGACCTGTAACTGAAAACCATATTACGCAGTGAGATTTTAAGTCAATTTTTAACAAGTCCCTCCAAGGTGCATACTGGTATGTATATTTGCCATTATTTGGCAGTTGTTCTGCATATCTCCACACTACATGTACCACTATCAAGTAGCTAGCACCATGTTACTTGTTAGCATGACTTTGATCTTTCAACTATCAACAGCACACAGACCTGCCACATGGCCAGGGAGAATGTACATGAAAGATACGTTATGAAAGCCACTGCTACAATTACGACGATGCATTGACTATGTACCAAGTAAGAAGGATACATCACACCAAGCATATGAAGCAGCATGTTTCAAAACATTCACTCAAGATCGAAATCGAGAGATAGGGAGACACAGAGAGAGAGAGAGACAGAGACAGAGACCGAGAGATTGACAGAGACAGACAGAGACAAAGACCGAGAGAGAGAGAGAGAGAGAGAGAGAGAGAGAGAGAGAGAGAGAGAGAGAGAGAGAGAGAGAGAGAGAGAGAGAGAGAGAGAGAGAGAGAGGGAGAGGGAGAGAGAGAGAGAGAGAGAGAGAGAGAGAGAGAGAGAGAGAGAGAGAGAGAGAGAGAGAGAGAGAGAGAGAGAGAGAGAGAGAGAGAGAGAGAGGAGAAGCATCTAGCCATCCCGCTAACCTGTAAAGAAAATGACTGCTTCTCTGTGAACTCAACAAGTAGCAGAGGCTTGCGGTAATGTCTTGTCATAGCAGTCGCCTGGTTAAACCTACACCAGAAACAGCAGCATACCAGTGCATCAGCAGATGGAAGTGTAGACATACCGTAGTTCCGCGCATATAAGCCCATGGGCTAATATACGAAATAATGCATTTTCCGGGAAAATAAATCAGTAATAATGGTTCGTTTTTTAGCCCTGGGCCTACTGTATATTCGAATTTTGAAGGCAGCTGGCACGCGAAAAAGTACAAGTCTGTGCGCGGTTGTCCGCCTACCATAGGTACCGGTACTGGTAATGTAGTCTGCATTGACATGCTGTACTACGGTGTTTGGGTCTGTTTATTAGCCCATGGGCCTATAAACGGAGGCGGGCTTATATCCGGATATAGGACCAAGGGCTTATATCCGGATATAGGACCAAGGGCTTATATGCGCGGAACTACGGTAGTAGGGCAAGTGTCATAAAATGTCAGTGCTGCAATGCCACACCAGTTGGATTCTATGGGGCCTCGTATAACACACACCGTACAAAAATACTTCGAAGTAGCTACAGTAGCATGCTCGCACGCATGTCCGCCCGCCCGCACACATGCGTGTACACACACACACACATACACACATACACACCTATCAGACTGGGTCACTGGGATCAGCCAGACCCACTTACAGTCGACCGGAGTTTAAAGAACCAATGAGATCACTGACACTCTTCCTCTCCACACACATGTCCGGAGACAGGATATAGTCACCGACCTGAGAAACAAACGCCACACAACAGCAAATGGAGAGGTACTGCAGAACGAAAATGCGTACAAAATTTCACTCTACGTCAAGAAGTGAGCAACTTCGCACGAACTTTCGCAACTTTGGAACTTGCACGAAATGCGAAATGAACTTTCGTGAAAGTACGGTAAGTTGCGTGGGCTCGAACGTGGTCAACGGGTTCACCGTGTGCACGTGATCGGCGTGCGAACTACCGTACTGGCAATATATGTTGCCGCGTAACGCGTAACGCAGGGGGGTGCGGCGTAACGCGCCACCAGGCTAGTGCGACAAATTTTCGTTGCGTTCGTCACGCGCGTCCGGCAGGGTGCGGCGATCTTTTCATTGCAGTTTGCAAAAAATGATGCGGCAATAGCAAAAAAATGATGCGGCAATAGCAAAAAAGTGATGCGGCAATAGCAAAAAAAGGACTGCGTAACCTGTGTAACGGCTCCTGTGCGACTTTGCATGTAACGCCCTGCGTGCGGCAAACATGTGCCAATGTAACGCTTCATGGCCTCACTGCGGCAACATATATTGCCAGTACGGTACAAAATGTGCAGAGCACAAATGTGTGAAAATTCGCACAAACCTTTGCAAGGACCGTCGCGAAACTTAATGCGCATTTTCGTTTTGCAGAACCTCTCTAATACCAGCCTGCAGTGTCTGTTGATGGCTGCTAACAGTAGGTTGGGAGCAGATAGAACCTTGCAAACTGCTACTAGGAAACATGCTTCTGAAATCACGGTCTGCGTGAGATCCAGGCAGACCGTGTTTACACTCATCCGTAGGACCGCCACCACCCTCAAGGATCAAGGCGCAGTTCTCAGCTCTTAAAGCAGTTGGAGGTGACTAGATCAGAAGCAGCGGTATAAACTGACAAAGATGGAAAGTAGGCATAGATGGCACAGCCACTAGCACATGTTCAGCATACTGTACTGTACCTCAAGAGTCACTGGTTCTATGTCAATCCCACGGCGATGAATCAGCGATGGAAGACTGCTGCGAAACTCACGCATGTCCACCACAACCTGCGCACAGAGCAAAAACAAGAAGTGAAGCACTCACAGCCATTGCGGCTGCTCCTTGGCCACTCTATTCCACGTGCAGCACACAGCCAACATACACTCAGCAGTGTACAGCCACTTGTTCAGAATACTTAGGACATGTACTTCAAAACAACAAAATACAAGGACAACACTATACTAGGAACACTATACATGCACTGGTAATACTGCATGTTGGTGTTCCGGCGTAAATTGTCACCGTACCTTTCTCTTCTCGACCGCCTTCTTGCGACCGCCCGCTTTCCGTGTGCTGGCTACAGTTTCAGCGGCCGACCTTGGATCGCGTGACAAGGCAGCACTGTCCGCTGCCCGCGCAGACTGGTCTTCAGACACTACCATCACCTGAGAACATAGTCAAGTATAGTACCACCTTGCATCACTTTAACATCCAGTTCCTTCATAGACGGAGCTACGAAGTACTGTAAGACCAGTAATGTTAACGAACATTTAATTATAACGATTTTTTAAATGAATTAAAATTTGTTGTTAACTTAAGATTTGAAGTCGTTATGTAGAAAACGATATGTACGTGTACAGTCATTTGCCGGTTTTGAGACAGAGTTCATTTCATTTCACCTCGCAAACCCACAAAAATCCGGAGATCATCAACTTTAATTGACGTAAAAATCTCTAGTCTTACAGTACCAATGAAGAATAGAAGCGGATTGATCCTACACTACCTCATCACGCTCTCTCGTTTCTAAGCGAAGATATACCGGGTAATGAGAAACTACCAATACCAAGAGTACATAACCCCCCAGAGTGTGCAACGCCTGATCCATGGATCCAGCTCTGCATAGGGTCTTGGTCGAGTGTAATCGGATCTTCTGAGGACATGGGTACACTCCACACCAGCGCAAGGCCGGTCTCGAGGCAGGGCACCGTTATTTTTGATCCGAGAGTCCCCGCGACTCCCCGGGTTCCCCTCAGATGTGTACGATATTATGACGCAAAGATCCTATTACGCTCGACCAAGACCCTATGCAGAGCTGGATCAGGCGTTGCACACTCTGGGGGGTTATGTACTCTTGTCGATACCCTTTCCTTCCACGATGTACTTACAGCCTTCTGACGAATCAACATCTCAAAGGCATGCTTCTCTTTCCGAAGGCTTGTTAGGTACCTCTGCATGACAGAGAGAGAGAGAGAGAGAGAGAGAGAGAGAGAGAGAGAGAGAGAGAGAGAGAGACAGAGAGAGAGACAGAGAGAGACAGAGAGAGAGAGAGAGAGAGAAAGAGAGATAGAAAGAGAGAGAGAGAGAGAGAGAGAGAGAGAGAGAGAGAGATAGAGAGGAGAGAGAGAGAGAGAGAGAGAGAAAGAAAGAAAGAGAGAGAGAGAGAGAGAGAGAGAGAGAGAGAGAGAGATTGTACACATACACACGCCAGTGTCATCGTTGTGTTACATGTATGAACGCACTGCACACTCAAGGCCGTCCCACTTTTGCGGCCGATTTTTTACATATTTTTAGCACATTCCATGCACGTAAAGCGCGCTGATCGCAGCTCAGCGCAACCAAACGTGGCGAATATTGAAGAATCCTTGTCCCCGATCGTAGCGTCTTCCTGGTTTGTTGCAGAATCAAAAAGTCTTTCATTGCACATGTAGTTACACTGAATAATGAAATGCCACCAAATGCCCGGAAATGCTTGCAATTGGCTTCAATTTTTGAAATTTTTCACACATTATGATCTTGTGATGGTTTTCATTAGACCTAGGAGTAGGAGTACAGCTGTCTTACGCACCAATGTGATTACACTCACGCTACTGAGGTGCATACAGTTGTCATTTAGTCCAAACATGGCTACAGTACAGAACACACACACACGCACGCACACACGCACGCACACACACACACACGCACGCACACACGCACCCACCCACATACACACACACATACACACACACACACACACACACACACACACATACACTAGCAAATGCATACACAGACCCCCAACTCACCTGCTCTTCAATTGAAGACTGGTAGACGAGAAAGTAGACTCGCAGTGGAATACCAGGCCTGCTAGCCTTGAATACCTGCATAGCCGGACACAACATAATATGAAAAATAAGAAAATGTAAATGATTCCGCTGTGCAATCAATCAACTTCATGCCAAACAAGTCCTCCGCCTGATTCTCAAACAACTGATCAGCAGAAGCGTCATTTATTGTCAAAGCCAGACCATTAGGGTATGCTGCCACTAGCTTTACTCTGGTGTGGTGATTAGTATTATCCCAACTCAGAATGGCTTTCTTTTCCACCGGCTTCTGTACCATTTGTTGCATATTCATTGTTACATATGTGTCTAGGAGTGGTGTGGTATGGCACTAGTCAGCTGGATACAGTCAACTTCGCCAATAACGACATTCGGCGGGGCATCAGAAAAGTGTCCTTATTCGCGAAGTGTCCTTATAACCGAAGTCCCATTTGAACGTATGTGAACCCATATTTTGTATAGTATGATATGCATATCAAAATCAAGCTCTTTTTTTGCTCTATGTCAATGTGTACTTTATTTTCATATTGCAGTTGAAAGGAACTAAAAATTCAATATGCAAGGGAAATCAATTGAAAAATATGCCTTTTTGAGCAATCTACAGGGCCAGAGATATGTACATGTATGATGATTACTGTACAATCATGTACAACTACATGTACATTGTATACATATAGGTGTGCTGGTAAATCCAACCATTTTGAAGCCAACATTAAAAAGGAAGAAAAAGCCCCCCCCCCCCCCTGGCTGCATTTTCTTGCATGTGTGCAATAATATCCATCACCAGTGCACCATATGCATAGGTTCTGGTACTTCTGCATGACACTACATGTACTTGACTGACAGGTACTTGAAATAGCTGTCAAAAGCCCAGAAAGTCGTTATTCAAGCAGTGAATATGACCACGGGGCACTAAAAGCATGTCGCTATATGCGAATTGTCGTTATTCAGATAGTCGTTATATCCGAAGTTAAATATATACAGTTAGATGGGACTTTGCTCTGGGCATGGAAATTCGGTCGTTATTCGCGAATTGTCGTTATATCCGCAGTCGTTATTAGCGAAGTTGACTGTACAAGCCATGGCTGGATAACTAAACTATTGTTGTTCTATTTTCAGTCCCTATTCCAAAGAAAAAAAACACTCCACGTGACTAACCTCAATCTGTCGCACAAACTCCATCTCCACGTCGAAGAGGATGATAAACCGAGGTGCAAGCTCTTCAATGACCCGGCTTGCAGACGGCGAGTCACTGGAGAAGACAAGCAAGCAGCAAAGGACAACCTGAGAGCATGTCATGGTGTGTGTTCGTAGGCTGACCTGTGACCAGTGAACGGAGACCACCACCACCACCACTGCAGCCGCAAGATCTGCAGCACAGGCAATTGAGTATTTCCGTCCCTTGCTTTTTCGTAGCACAGCACCCTATGTGGCTGTGCCGCAGTTGTCTGTCGTAGTGCAACGTTCTCTTCACAGCTAGAACACTCTGCGAAGCTTTGAGCTGATTAAAAAACATTACTTCACTGAGAATAATTGCGCGAGTCACTCTCATCTCTGTTGGTGAAAGATCACAGGGTAAAAATGGCCAGCTGTGAGGAGAGTGAGAAGACACACACACAGGTGTGTACGTACCTGTTTCCACGCAGTGGATAAACTGCTACTAGAGGATCGGTGATAATACCAAACTCCGCATCAAACTGCTCTTCCTCATCACCAGCAGCAGCAGCAGCAGCACTGGTAGGCTAGGAGGGACAAATTCAAACACACATCCAAATAACTCAATGGTTAGGACAAGCTACATAAAACGCATAGTCCTTCAAACAAAAAGCAGCAGCACTAAACACTTCTTGGCAATGAGAGAGAGGGGGGGGGGGGAGGAGACGGAGAAAGAGAGAAAGAGAAACATGGGATACAAACAAGTATGGCTCACTTTCTCAGATGTTGTCGATGCAGAAGTATTGTCTGTTCGGTAGAAACACACCACACGCAAACACACGGACATGCACACAAGGAAAAAAGCTAAACAAACACAAAATCAGACTTGGGTGGAGAGCCAAGAATTAATTTATAAGAAGAAAAGACCAAGAGCTACAAGCTACGCTATATCGCATGAGCTGATTATAAAGTAACTGGTGGTGTTAGTGGATATTATAGCGTAACTTGTAGCTCTTTTGGTCCATTTCTTCTTACAAACACACATTCATTCCGCAAACACGACCAGCTGTACACGTTTTGGAGACCAAAAGCTCTAACAAACAGATTCATACTTTCCAAGGTTTGATGTTGCTTCACAAATTCACACCTCCTACATCTCTGTGCAATGGCCTTATTACTAATATCGAAAACAAGTGTGTGGACAGTGTGAGCCCAGAACATGCTAAACATGGCCGGTGACAATACAATCACAAGTGGAATTCTACAGTTTCACCTACTGCTACTTGTAGTAGTGCCAGTGGCTCCACTGGATGCAGTGCCTCCTCCTCCTCTTCCTCCTCCTGATGCTGCACCCCGACCTCGGGTACTGCTACCCTGGCCCTGACCTCTGCCCCTGCCCTGACCCTGGGCCGGTACAGATCTAGATGTGGACGACGTTGACTTTGCCGCCTACACACAGTGCAGAGAGCAACATCACACCGCTAGCAATACAAACACAGTGCAGAGAGCAACATCACACAGCTAGCAATACAAACACAGTGCAGAGAGCAACATCACACCGCTAGCAATACAAACACAGTACAGAGAGCAACATCACACAGCTAGCAATACAAACACAGTACAGAGAGCAACATCACACAGCTAGCAATACAAACACAGTGCAGAGAGCAACATCACACAGCTAGCAATACAAACACAGTACAGAGAGCAACATCACACAGCTAGCAATACAAACACAGTGCAGAGAGCAACATCACACAGCTAGCAATACAAACACAGTACAGAGAGCAACATCACACAGCTAGCAATACAAACACAGTGCAGAGAGCAACATCACACCGCTAGCAATACAAACACAGTACAGAGAGCAACATCACACAGCTAGCAATACAAACACAGTGCAGAGAGCAACATCACACCGCTAGCAATACAAACACAGTGCAGAGAGCAACATCACACCGCTAGCAATACAAACACAGTACAGAGAGCAACATCACACAGCTAGCAATACAAACACAGTACAGAGAGCAACATCACACCGCTAGCAATACAAACACAGTGCAGAGAGCAACATCACACCGCTAGCAATACAAACACAGTGCAGAGAGCAACATCACACAGCTAGCAATACAAACACAGTGCAGAGAGCAACATCACACAGCTAGCAATACAAACACAGTGCAGAGAGCAACATCACACAGCTAGCAATACAAACACAGTGCAGAGAGCAACATCACACCGCTAGCAATACAAACACAGTGCAGAGAGCAACATCACACAGCTAGCAATACAAACACAGTGCAGAGAGCAACATCACACCGCTAGCAATACAAACACAGTACAGAGAGCAACATCACACAGCTAGCAATACAAATACAGTACAGAGAGCAACATCACACAGCTAGCAATACAAATACAGTACAGAGAGCAACATCACACAGCTAGCAATACAAACACAGTGCAGAGAGCAACATCACACAGCTAGCAATACAAACACAGTGCAGAGAGCAACATCACACAGCTAGCAATACAAACACAGTGCAGAGAGCAACATCACACCGCTAGCAATACAAACACAGTGCAGAGAGCAACATCACACCGCTAGCAATACAAACACAGTGCAGAGAGCAACATCACACAGCTAGCAATACAAACACAGTGCAGAGAGCAACATCACACCGCTAGCAATACAAACACAGTACAGAGAGCAACATCACACCGCTAGCAATACAAACACAGTACAGAGAGCAACATCACACAGCTAGCAATACAAACACAGTGCAGAGAGCAACATCACACCGCTAGCAATACAAACACAGTACAGAGAGCAACATCACACCGCTAGCAATACAAACACAGTACAGAGAGCAACATCACACCGCTAGCAATACAAACACAGTACAGAGAGCAACATCACACCGCTAGCAATACAAACACAGTGCAGAGAGCAACATCACACCGCTAGCAATACAAACACAGTACAGAGAGCAACATCACACCGCTAGCAATACAAACACAGTGCAGAGAGCAACATCACACCGCTAGCAATACAAACACAGTGCAGAGAGCAACATCACACCGCTAGCAATACAAACACAGTACAGAGAGCAACATCACACAGCTAGCAATACAAACACAGTGCAGAGAGCAACATCACACCGCTAGCAATACAAACACAGTGCAGAGAGCAACATCACACCGCTAGCAATACAAACACAGTGCAGAGAGCAACATCACACCGCTAGCAATACAAACACAGTACAGAGAGCAACATCACACAGCTAGCAATACAAACACAGTGCAGAGAGCAACATCACACCGCTAGCAATACAAACACAGTGCAGAGAGCAACATCACACCGCTAGCAATACAAACACAGTGCAGAGAGCAACATCACACCGCTAGCAATACAAACACAGTGCAGAGAGCAACATCACACCGCTAGCAATACAAACACAGTACAGAGAGCAACATCACACCGCTAGCAATACAAACACAGTACAGAGAGCAACATCACACCGCTAGCAATACAAACACAGTACAGAGAGCAACATCACACCGCTAGCAATACAAACACAGTACAGAGAGCAACATCACACCGCTAGCAATACAAACACAGTACAGAGAGCAACATCACACCGCTAGCAATACAAACACAGTACAGAGAGCAACATCACACCGCTAGCAATACAAACACAGTACAGAGAGCAACATCACACCGCTAGCAATACAAACACAGTGCAGAGAGCAACATCACACCGCTAGCAATACAAACACAGTACAGAGAGCAACATCACACCGCTAGCAATACAAACACAGTACAGAGAGCAACATCACACCGCTAGCAATACAAACACAGTACAGAGAGCAACATCACACCGCTAGCAATACAAACACAGTACAGAGAGCAACATCACACCGCTAGCAATACAAACACAGTACAGAGAGCAACATCACACCGCTAGCAATACAAACACAGTACAGAGAGCAACATCACACCGCTAGCAATACAAACACAGTGCAGAGAGCAACATCACACCGCTAGCAATACAAACACAGTACAGAGAGCAACATCACACCGCTAGCAATACAAACACAGTACAGAGAGCAACATCACACCGCTAGCAATACAAACACAGTACAGAGAGCAACATCACACCGCTAGCAATACAAACACAGTACAGAGAGCAACATCACACCGCTAGCAATACAAACACAGTACAGAGAGCAACATCACACCGCTAGCAATACAAACACAGTACAGAGAGCAACATCACACCGCTAGCAATACAAACACAGTACAGAGAGCAACATCACACCGCTAGCAATACAAACACAGTGCAGAGAGCAACATCACACCGCTAGCAATACAAACACAGTACAGAGAGCAACATCACACCGCTAGCAATACAAACACAGTACAGAGAGCAACATCACACCGCTAGCAATACAAACACAGTACAGAGAGCAACATCACACCGCTAGCAATACAAACACAGTACAGAGAGCAACATCACACCGCTAGCAATACAAACACAGTACAGAGAGCAACATCACACCGCTAGCAATACAAACACAGTACAGAGAGCAACATCACACCGCTAGCAATACAAACACAGTACAGAGAGCAACATCACACCGCTAGCAATACAAACACAGTGCAGAGAGCAACATCACACCGCTAGCAATACAAACACAGTACAGTAAAACCTGTCAGGGCAGCGACTACTCGGATAGGGCGACCACCTGTCCTAGAAGACCACTGAAACTAGGACTAAGGGGTGCTATTTCCAGTCAAATGACCCTGGATAAGGAGACCACCTGGTAACAGAGACTACGTTTCGAAGGTCCCTTGAGCGGTCGTCTTAGGCAGGTTTCACTGTAACTTATGTACGTCAAGGACTCTCATTCAGTACAACATGCGCAGGCCAATCCAGACCAAGAAAAGCCTCATGCACATAGCAGAGTAGAACTTGGATGAGACGAACCCCACAGGACCACATCACCGTCCGAGTTTTACTATACACGCACATGTATACTGGCACTATTTGCGAATGTATGCCAACCATGCATCGACCAGGTGCCAGGCGCGAACTGATGGTGGTGGTGGTGAGAAGGAGAGCTCTGTGCTAGAACTTTGCAGCCTAGAGAGCGTGTGTGGGCAGGCGTGTGTTTACCGCCATATTGCCGGGTGTGTCTTTACCACCATATTTATCAACCATGTATACTTTTGCATTTGTCAAGCCTATTAAAAAAAACTCCAACAAGATTGTACTGCTATAAATATACTGTGGTGGGCTCTGGGAGGTAGGTTCTGTCACAACATTCACATGCAGTACATACCTTGCTTGCCGTGCCAGTCTGTGCCTTCGCTTTCCGCTTTGGCCATCTTCCCTTGCCTACGGGAAGACCAGGACAGCGGAGCAGGCAGTAGCAACGTGGATGTAATCAGATTGGATTCGCATTATGTCATACCCGTGATACATGTATCAGGGCACAATGGTTAGCTCCCTATTGAGATTAGAGTTCATACTGTATGGCGCCCATTTCCCTTTGTTGACTCGAGTCAATACACATTCCGTGGCCTTATTGCATCCTGGATGGCACCTATTTCACCCGAACAGCACATTGGGATCAGTAGTAACATGCAGTGTGCACACTCTGTTACATAACACAGATCAACACGTTTTGGCAGATCATAAATGCATAGTTCGAATATCAACAAACATTTTTCGCAACATTTACAGCAGGATGTATGTTATTCTCTGAGAAACGCTTCCATTTCCATGGGCACACAGAAGTCCCACACCTCTACCAACTGCTATCAGGCTCCAACCTGGTAGAGTCAGTAGAGGAAAGTGGAATTTACAGTTAGAGGCAAAAAAAAATTGGAATGCATACATCTACCAAAAGTAGTAGTTCCCACTGAAACCTGTAGATCAAAAACGACCATCCACCTC